GGTCGAACAGGAAGGTCTTCAGGGGCGGTCCGTCGGAGCCCAAAGAACTCGCGTCATCTTCTCCCTGCGTGTTCAGCTGAAACCTTGGGGGCAGAAACTGATGGACAACAAGATGCACTGTTGGATTAGCGGGCTCTCACAAAGCCTATACACACATGCTCTCTCTTTCGGCATGCCATGTGCAAGGCAGGAGACGTGGCTGCACCTGCTACAATGCGCTTAGTGCTGCGGACCACCTCGGAAAGTTTCACCCTGGCCATGTCGGGGTAGGTCCTTGGCTCTTAACTTTCAGGATTGTGGCCCCTAAACCCTAAACCCTAAACCGTGGTGCTGGTGGTGGTGGTGTCGGCAGCAGTGGAAAGCGAGAGAGTTAAGTTGTCTCTGGGATCATGGGCTCATGTGGCTCCAGGGTTTCGGCTGGCGCAAAAAAAAATTAGGGCTTCCGGCCTGGGGTCTAGAGTCGGTCTAGGGTTTCGGGTTTGGGGTGCAGGGTTAGGGTTAGGGTTGAGGGCTTCGGGTTCAGGGTTTAGGATTTAGCGTTGAGGGCTTAGGGCTCTTGACACCGTCCGAAGGTCTGGCTTACCGAAGCCGACTGTGACTCATCTGACAAGAGCAGTCGGCGCTTTGGCGACAGGCTTGGGAGGAGCGTCGAGCTCATTTCCTAAGCGTTGCATGCACTCCCGACGGCTGGGTGCGATGCTTCAGGGTTTGACCAGGCAAGAAATCCAAACAAAAAACACGAGGACGGCCAATGGTACTCCTTTGGATGGCCAGGCGACTTCAGGCGGAAGAGAGAAGACGTGGTGGCTTTCATCGTAGACCACCATGTCACATTGTTCTGCGCCGGGTTCGGCCACACGTCGGAGTATGTGGTTACCGTCTAGAAAGGGCACCTGAAAGTGTTTGAAGGGGCTGTGCAGCAAAGTAATTCTAGAGAGCACCTGCTGGATCCTGCTTTGCACCAGCGCCGGCTCGCTGTGATGTCTGTGCGTCGAAGTTCGCGATGCAAGTCGCATGGAGAGCCAGCGAATGAAGTGGAGGCCGAGGCTTTCGGAGGGAGCGACGTAGAGCAGCCGGGCTGAGGGATGGGTGTTGAGATGCTCAAGCACGTGCTGCACCGCAACGAAGGTCTTTCCCGCACCCGCTGGGGCAGAGAGATGAACGTCGTCGAGGCCCTCCATCTCTTTCAGCTTCACCTGGCAGGTGTTTCGCAAAATGCTTCGAAACTAGCTGCTACTGCCTTCTTCTTTAGAGTCATGAAAAATGGAGAATCAATGGAGAATCAGCACCTCGTCAGCCTCCTTGAGAGAGGGGAGGGGTTGCCGAATTGGATCCACACTACCCAAATGCTCCCTAAACACCCTAAACCCTAAACCCCTAAACCCTAAATCACCTAAATCCCAACCCC